AGAAGCTTTACAGACAAGCAAAAGCTATGGAGAAATCAAAGGCTTTACAGACAAGCAAAAGCTAAGAGAATTCAGCACCACCAAACCAGCTCTACAACAAATGCTAAAGGAACTTCTCTAAGTGGGAAACACAAGAGAAGAAAACAACCTACAAAAACAAACCCAAAACAATTAAGAAAATGGTATTAGGAACATACATATCTATAATTACCTTAAACGTGAATGGATTAAATGCTCCAACCAAAAGACACAGGCTCGCAGAATGGATACAAAAACAAGACCCATATATATGCTGTCTACAAAAGACCCACTTAAGACCTAGGGACACATAGAGACTGAAAGTGAGGGAATGGAAAAAGATATTCCATGCAAATGGAAATCAAAAGAAAGCTGGAGTAGCAATACTCATATCAGATAAAATGGACTTTAAAGTACAGAAGGTTACAAGAGACAAGGAAGGATACTGCTGAATGATCAAGGGGTCAATCCAAGAAGAAGATATAACAATTATATATGCACCCAACGTAGGAACACCTCAATACATAAGGCAACTGCTAACAGCTCTAAAAGAGGAAATCGACAGTAACACAATAATAGTGGGGGACTTTAACACCTCACTTACACCAATGGACAGATCATCCAAACAGAAAATTAATAAGGAAACTCAAGCCTTAAATGACACAATAGACTAGATAGATTTAATTGATATTTATAGAACATTCCATCCCAAAACAGCAGATTACGGTTTCTTCTCAGGTGCACACAGAAAGTTCTCCAGGATAGATCACATCTTGGGTCACAAATCAAGCCTCAGTAAATTTAAGAAAATTGAAATCATATCAAGCATCTTTTCTGACCGCAACGCTATGAGATTAGAAATCAGTTACAGGGAAAAAAACGTAAAAAACACAAACACGTGGAGGCTAAACCATACGTTACTAAATAACCAAGAGATCACTGAAGAAATCAAAGAGAAAATCAAAAAATACCTGGAGACAAATGACAATGAAAACACGACGATCCAAAACCTATGGGATGCTGCAAAAGCAGTTCTAAGAGGGAAGTTTATAGCAATACAGTCCTACCTCAAGAAACAACAAACGTCTCAAATAAACAATCTAACCTTACACCTAAAGGAACTAGAGAAAGAAGAACAAACAAAACCCAAAGTTAGTAGAAGGAAAGAAATCATAAAGATCAGAGCAGAAATAAATGAAGTAGAAACAAAGAAAACAGTAGCAAAAATCAATAAAGCAGGGCTTCCCTGGTGGCGCAGTGGTTGAGACTCCGCCTGCCGATGCAGGGGACATGGGTTCGTGCCCCGGTCTGGGAAGATCCCACATGCCGTGGAGCGGCTAGGCCTGTGAGCCATGGCTGCTGAGCCTGCGCCTCCGGAGCCTGTGCTCCACAACGGGAGAGGCCACAACAGTGAGAGGCCCACATATCGCAAAAAAAAAAAAAAAAAATCAATAAAGCAAAAAGCTGGTTCTTTGAGAAGATAAACAAAATAGATAAACCATTAGCCAGGCTCATCAAGAAGAAGAGGGAGTGGACTCAAATCAATAAAATTAGAAATGAAAAAGGAGAAGTTACAACAGACACCGCAGAAATACAAAGCATCCTAAGAGACTGCTACAAGCAACTCTGCTAATAAAATGGACAACCTGGAAGAAATGGACAAACTCTTAGAAAGGTATAAACTTCCAAGACAGGAAGAAATAGAAAATATGAACAGACCAATCACAAGCAATGAAATTGAAACTGTGATTAAAAATCTCCCAACAAACAGAAGTCCAGGACCAGATGGCTTCACAGGTGAATTCTGTCAAACATTTTGAGAAGAGCTAACACCCATCCTTCTCAAACTCTTCCAAAAAATTGCAGAGGAAGGAACAGCCCCAAACTCATTCTATGAGGCCACCATCACCCTGATACCAAAACCAGACAAAGATACTACAAAAAAAAGAAAGTTATAGACCAATATCACTGATGAATATAGATGCAAACATCCTCAAGAAAATACTAGCAAACAGAATCCAACAACACATTAAAAGGATAATACACCATGATCAAGTGGGATTTATCCCAGGCATTCAAGGATTCTTCAATATATGCAAATCAATGTGATAACACTATATTAACAAATTGAAGAATAAAAACCATATGATCATCTCAGTAGATGCAGAAAAAGCTTTTGACAAAATTCATCACCTATTTATGATAAAAACTCTCCAGAAAGTGGGCATAGAGGGAACCTACCTCAACAAAATAAAGGCCATATACGACAAACCCACAACAAACATTCTCAGTGGTGAAAAAGTGAATGCATTTCCTCTAAGATCAGGAACAAGACAAGGATGTCCACTCTCACCACTGTTATTCAACATAATTTTGGAAGTCCTAGCCACCGCAATCAGAGAAGAAAGAGAAGTAAAATGAATACAGATTGGAAAAGAAGTAAAACTATCACTGTTTGAAGATGATATGATACTATACATAGAGAATCCTAAAGATGCTACCAGAAAACTACTAGAGCTAATCAATGAATTTGGTAAAGTTGCAGGATACAAAATTAATGTACAGAAATCTCTTGCATTCCTATACACTGATGATGACAAATCTGAAAGAGAAATTAAGGAAACACTCCCATTTACCATTGCAACAAAAAGAATAAAATACCTAGGAATAAACCTACTTAGAGAGACAAAAGACCTGTATACAGAAAACTATAAAACATTGATGAAAGAAATTAAAGATGATACCAACAGATGGAGAGATACACCATGTTCTTGGATTGGCAGAATCAATATTGTGAAAATGACTCTACAACCCAAAGCAATCTACAGATTCAGTGCAATCCCTATCAAATTACCAATGTCATATTTTGCAGAACTAGAACAAAAAATCTTAGAATTTTTATGGAATCACAAAAGACCCCGAATAGCCAAAGGACTCTTGAGGGAAAAAAAACAGAGCTGGAGGAATCAGACTCCCTGACTTTGGGCTATACTACAAAGCTACAGTAATCAAGACATTATGGTACTGGCACAAAAACAGAAACATAGATCAATGGAACAAGATAGAAAGCCCAGAGATAAACCCATGCACCTATGCTCAACTAATCTATGACAAAGGAGGCAAGGATATACAATGGAGAAAAGACAGTCTCTTCAATAAGTGGTGCTGGGAAAACTGGACAACTACATGTAAAAGAATGAAATTAGAACACTCCCTGACACCATACACAAAAATAAACTCAAAATGGATTAGAGACCTAAATGTAAGACCAGACACTATAAATCTCTTAGAGGAAAACATAGGAAGAACACTCTGATGTAAATCACAGCAAGATCTTTTTTGGTCCACCTCCTACAGTAATGGAAATAAAAACAAAAATAAACAATTGGGACCTAATGTAACTTAAAACTGTTTGCACAGCAAAGGAAACTACAAAGAAGACCAAAAGACAACCCTCAGAATGGGAGAAAATATTTGCAAATGAATCAATGGACAAAGGATTAATCTCCAAAATATATAAACAGCTCATGCAGCTCAATATTAAAAAAAAACAACCCAATCCAAAAATGGGCAGAAAAACTAAATAGACATTTCTCCAAAGAAGACATACAGATGGCCACGAAGCACATGAAAAGCTGCTCAGCATTACTAATTATTAGAGAAATGCAAATCAAAACTACAATGAAGTATCACCTCACACCAGTTAGAATGGGCATCATCAGAAAATCTACAAACAATAAATGCTGGAGGGGATGTGGAGAAAAGGGAACCCTCTTGCACTGTTGGTGGGAATGTAAATTGATACAGCCACTATGGAGAACAGTATGAAGGTTCCTTAAAAAACTAAAAATAGAACTACCATATGACCTAGCAATCCCACTACTGGGCATATACCCAGAGAAAACCATAATTCAAAAAGACACATGCACCCCAATGTTCATTGCAGCACTATCTACAATAGCCAGGACACGGAAGCAACCTAAATGCCCATCGACAGACAAATGGATAAAGAAGATGTGGTATATATATACAATGGAATATTGCTCAGCCATAAAAAGGAACAAATTGGGTCATTTGTAGAAATGTGGATGGATCTAGAGACTCTCATACAGACTGAAGTAAGTCAGAAAGAGAAAAACAAATATTGTATATTAACGCATATATGTGGAACCTAGAAAAATGGTACAGATGAACCAGTTAGCAGGGCAGAAATTGAGACGCAGATGTAGAGAACAGACGTATGGACACCAAGGGGGGAAAGCGGTGGGGGGAAAAGCAGTGTGATGAATTGGGAGATTGGGATTGACATGTCGACACTGATGTATATAAAATGGATGACTAATAAGAACCTGCTATGTAAAAAAACAATTTAAAAAAATTATAGTAGTTAACATGAATGGACTTCACTAAAAATACAGATGGGACAAATGACCTTTCATCCAAGAGACAACTGAAAAATCCTGCTCACAGAAACTGTGTAGTTGGAGTGTAATTAACCTTGACTCTTGTCTGTGATGTCTGGCTTGGTTATGCCCTCTGTCTCATTTAGGGATCTATAAATATATACCATAGATTGATGTTATTCAAGAACACTTCTCTGAAATACGTATTAGAATCAGTGTGCTTTAAAAAAAAATAAAAGTTCAAACTACGTAGAAAATATTATGTGCAGTTAGATGAAACATCATGGTAAAAAAATTTATGTTTCTAATTTCCGTTTTTTAAATTCCCTGTTGATTGGGTACTTTCAGGTAAGAACCAAATTCCAGATTTTAAAAATGACTTTAAGTTTCAAGAATGTAAGATACTAAGCTGAAAAGTAGAAGTCATGGCAGTGCGTACTTTTATAATGCATTATAAATTCTTTTGTGTGCTCTCTCTTTCCTTCACCCTTTAAGAAAAGCTTTGTCATATGGAGTGAAAGTGAAAACCTTAAATCTTTCTCACATGATTGGCTGTTCTCTCCCATTTCTCTCCTATAGCTCCTGAGTATTGGTGTTCCATTGCTTACTTTGAAATGGATGTTCAAGTAGGAGAGACGTTTAAGGTTCCTTCAAGCTGTCCTGTTGTTACTGTTGATGGTTATGTAGACCCTTCTGGAGGAGATCGCTTTTGCTTGGGTCAACTCTCCAATGTCCACAGGACAGAAGCCATTGAGAGAGCAAGGTATTGATTGTATAGTTAGATAGTTAATTTTAAAAATTGAACATAGTACATTGTCTTTTATTCAGAGATATCTTTCAATGTAAATTATGTTTTCGAATATAAAAGAATAAAGATCGTCTTGAAAATTCAGAATTTGTAAGCATTTCATTTGAATTGTAGATGTTTGTTATTTAAAAGATGATAAAATACCGTGTTTTTTAAAAGTCAGTGAGGTTTCTGTGTTTTGAATCGTAACTAGACCTTTTGGAACCCGGTTTGAAAACTAGTTTTTATTTCCTCTGATTGTATGGTATTTCTCCAAATTTATTGAGAGGAAATAACATAAAATGAAGACATGTTTCCACAGGTGTTATTTATAATGGAAGACTGATAATAAAAGGTAAATGGTTAAGTAAATTTTAATACACTTTCATTTTTATGCAGTCATTAACATATAAAAAGTTTACATAATCAAATGTAAATACTTAAGATGAAATATTACAGGAAAACATACACAATTTTAGGTACTGTGTGATCTCAACTCTTTAAGGAAATGTGTGTGTGCATAAGCACATAATCTTGGCTCTATCCCTCGCTGTGTGATTTTGGCAAATTATCTACTCTCTAAGCCAGTGCTGTCTAATAGAATTTTCTGTGATGAAGGAAATGGTTTATATCTGTGCTGTCCAGTATAGTAACTTCTAGCCACATGTAGCTGTTGAGCAGTTAAAATTTGGCTCATGTGATTAACTGAATTTTTAAATTAATTTAAATTGAATTGTGAAGGTTAAATGAGAATTTATATTGAATGTTCCTGACACATAATAAGCATTATGTGAATGTTCATCATTATTACATATGAATAGGATACTAAAAAAAATAAACATACAGAAATGTTAACAGTGGCTATCTTTTGGTTATGGTGTTATATAATGTCCTTTATTCTTTAAAATTTTTCAGTATTGGGTATGCTATATAATCTGAACTAAAATTTATTTTTAAATACTTATCAAAATGAAATGTGATTCACTTTTTCTTCCTAAGGTTGCACATAGGCAAAGGTGTGCAGTTGGAATGTAAAGGTGAAGGTGATGTTTGGGTCAGGTGCCTTAGTGACCACGCAGTCTTTGTACAGAGCTACTACTTGGACAGAGAAGCTGGGCGTGCACCTGGAGACGCTGTTCATAAGATCTACCCAAGTGCATATATAAAGGTTAGTTGCAATTTTACTCAAATATTTTAGACTTGGAAAGCTCTGTTTGTTGTTTAAAGAATTGAGATGGAGGTGGGAGGAGTGTAAAAATGTCTCTTTATGTATTAAATAAGAAATTATGTTTGTATATAAAACACATTTCCTGGGCACTTTTATTGATATGATTGGTTATTTAGTTTTGTGGATGCATTCATGCCCTATTGTTTTATTAGCAAATTTGTTAAATGTTTTAGGGTAATACACAGGCTCTTGAAAATACTGAGTGAAACCTCCAAATTTCCTTTGATATAAAATATGTAAAACTCAGACTCTGAAATTGCATCTTAGCCAACCTTTAGGATTTTATGGAAGGGAATTCTAAAAGTATAGCTTTTCACATTAAGAACTGAGAAATGAAAAATTCTTCAGTACCACTTTTTTTAAGGTTAGTTATTTTGTGCATTAAATAGTTTTATTTACTATTATTTTGCAAATTAAGCCTGAGGTATTTTTCATTAATTATTACATATTCAACCTATTTTAATTTTAATTTATAACATATACTGTTTTTGAAAGTGGAAGATGGTAATTAGATACCCTAAATATATTTCTAATTTCAGATTTTTCACCGTCATCCTCAGCATGTTTAAGATTAGCTATTGTAAGTTAGTGGAATTAACTCTGCCTCATCACTTAGTCCTAGGAAATTGCTTAGCACACAAATAGAATTATCTTTATTTGTGTTTTCTAATTTTTCCACAAGGAATTTTGCTTATTTGTGCTTTATTATTTTTAAGTGGTGCTGTGTTTCCTCGTATGCTTTGTAGTCTGTTTAATACTTGTTGGCAAGTTTTTCTCAAGAGATTTTATTTTTTATTTTTTCCTTCCTGTCATGGCTTCTCCCTGTAGGGCAGTTTTGCCTTAGTCTGGCACCCTGGGATCCACATCTCAGGACCAATTCTTATATTTAGAAGGTAGAGGAATTTTTGTCCCTTGAGGAAATTGAGTTCCAATCCCCAGGTATGCTCAGGGCCTAATTTCCTGTTGCATAGATTTCTCTGATGCTTACCTATGCCATGGACAAGAATTTTATTCCTAATTGCATTTCTGAATTAACTGTCAAACTGTTTTACCAGCACTTGATTTATGGGCAGGTGCCCAGTTGTAGCCCTTGGAGAGCCTGTTTTCTCATTCCATATCACTCTGAGAAGTCAAATTCCTGTCCTCTACACCTGTTTGGTGCTGGTACCCCAAGTACCTTCTGTCTTTCGTCCTTGCTCTCCACTGTGGATTTTGTTTATCCATCATAAGTTAATGGACATGAGTTGTGTCTGCTTTTTGGCTATTATGAATAATGCTGCTATGAATAGTCATGTATAAGTTTTTAGGTAGATGTATTTTTTTCATTTTCTTGGATATATGCCTAGGAGTGGAGTTGCTGGATCATAAGATAACTCTATGTCTGACTTTTTGAGGGACTGCCAGACTGTTCTCCAGAATGGTAGTGCTGTTTTACATTTCCACCAGCAATATATATGGAGGGTTTCTGTTTCTCTATATTCTCACCAACACTTGTTATTATCTGCCTTTTTTATTTTAGCCATCCTAGTGGATATGAAGTGGTATCTGCCTCATTGTGGTTTTGATTTGCATTTCCTTAATGGCTAATAATGTTGAACTTCTTTTTGTGTATTTATTGGCCATTTGTGTATCTTCTTTGGAGAAATGTCTGTTCAGATCTTTTCCCATTTTTTAATTGGATTTTTTAGTCTTTTTATTATTGTTATAAGCGTTCTTTATATATTTTGGGTATCAGTCCTTTATCAAATACATGATTTGCAAATATCTTCTTCCATTCTTTGGCTCGTCTTTCACTTTTTGCATGATAATGATTTGCAGCACAAAAGTTTTAAAATTTAGTATAGTCTATCTATTCTTTGGTTGCTTGTGCTTTTGGTGTCATATCTAAGAAACCATTGCCTAAGGCAAGGTCATGAAGATTTATGCCTATGTTTTCTTCTAAGTGTTTTATACTTTTAGGTCTTACATTTAGGTCTATGATCCATTTTGAGTGAATTTTTGTGTATGGTGTAGGGAAAGGATTGTTCTTTTGTATGAGCACCAGTTGTTCCAGCAACCATTTGTTCAAAAGACTGTTCTTTCCCTTATTGAATTATCTTGACACCCTGTTGAAAACTCAATTGACCTTAAGTGATAAAGGGTTTTTTTCTGGGCCATCAATTCTATTTCGTTGCTGTATATATCTGTCCTTGTGACAGTACTACCCTTTCTTGATTGCTATAGCTTTGTAGGAAGTTTTGAAATTGGGGAGTGCGAGCTCTCCAACTTTGTAATTTTTCAGGATTATTTTGGCTATTGCCAGCCCCTTGGATTTCCACATGAATTTTATGATTGGCTTGGAAGATATCTATTTTTAATACTTTTTCTAGCCTTTGTATATGTTTGGAGCAGAGAGCAAAGGTGATTATGCATAACTATGCATCCATCTTGACTACAAGTCTCTGGATTACTTGTGCAATTAGAAGTGAATGGACAGAGGACTACAGTGTTGAATATATACTTTGTGCCAGACAGTAGTTATGAACTTAACGGATATGAGGTAGTATTTAAAACATTTAAGCTTAAAAAATGTGGAATCTTGTATAATTAATTTCTAGGATTGTCAAATAATGTAGGATCTCTATTTTGGTACAAATGGTCCTTGAAAAGCCACCCAGGTATGAGACGTGTCATCACTTGATAAACCACTGTCATGGATAGATTTTTATAGCAATCTCAGACTTTTGCCTTGAACAATAAATAACTCTCTTGTGGTACATTTTAGTGGAGTAAAAAAATCCCATTTTTGTTATATTAACTAAGATTTAAAAATAGTTATTTCTGTTTACTAAGTATATTGTTCTTCAGAAGAGTCTTCTCATTAGCCAGAAAGAGATGCAAGTTTATCCTAAATCTAACCATTGGCCTTTTCTTCATTTACTAATTTTTTGGGCCGCAGTAACTAAAGTTTAGGTTGTCAGGTAGATTTTCACCAGAGATCATGTTACTGGGGTGAATTGCATACAGATACATGAACCCTTGGAAGGAGTGCCCTTACATTGGGGAGTCCACATGGGGGAATCCATCCCTACCCCCAATACACATACATACACACAAACACATTTTTTTCTTTTTAGTTAAAATGAGGAAAACATAGGTTTAAAGAACCATTCTTTCATTTTATAAACCAAGAAGCTAGGACTAAATTGTATTTTTTTTTCTCCTAAGATGTTGATTTTTTTTTCCTGCTTCTCTTATGATATAGCAGTCACCTTATATTTATGAAAATCTGATGTAACAAAATGGCATTTTACAAGCTTTAAATGGAGCAAATGTTTGAATTCTGTTTAAGTGGCATTGCTCTTTTGCTTTCAAAAGTAAGATCTGTTTTGTTTTTGTTGCTTAAGCAGTAGACACTCAGGTTTTTTAAGAGTTTTTTTGAGATACTGAGATAATTCACATACCATATAATTCACCCATTAAAAGAGTACAATTGAGTGATTTTTAGTATATTCACAGAGTTGTGCAACCATCACCACAATCAATTTTAGAACATTTTCTTCACCCCAGAAAGAAACCTTGTACTCTTTAGCTGTTACCTCCCAACAACCCATTTCCGCCAGCTCTAGACAACCACTAACCTACTTTTTCTCTCTATAGATTTGCCTACTCTGAACAGTTTTTATAAATGGAATCATATAATGTGGTCTTTTGTGACTTCTTTCACTAAGCATAATGTTTTCAAGCTTCATCCATGTAGCATATATCTGTACTTCATTCCTTTTAGGGCTGAATGATATTTCATATACCACATTTTGTTTATCCATTCATCAGTTGATGGACATACGAGTTTCTACTTTTTGGCTATATTATGAATAATACCACTATGAACATTCACGTACAGATTTTTGTGTGAACATACGTCTTCATTTCTCTTGCATATACCAAGGAGTGGAATTGCTGGATCATAAAATAACTCTGTGTAACTTTTTAAGGGACTGCCAAACTGTTTTCCAAAGTGGCTGTAGCATTTTATATTTACAGCAGCAGTATATGAAGTTTCTGATTTCTCTACAGTCTCATGAATACTTGTTGCTATCTGTCTTTTTGATTTTAGCCATCCTAGAGGGTGTGAAGTGGTATCTCATTGTGGTGGTTTTTGATATGCATTTCTCTTATGATGATGAGTCAGGTTTGTTTTTGAACACATATGTTAGGGGCAGGGGGCAGGCTGTGTTTCTAAACCACAGCTGGACTAGGTTGAAGGTTATTATGATCCCACTTAAATTTATTCCCAGTTACTATATATCATGATTCTTACCTCCAGGTCAGATTACTTAGCAAGTCCTTAAAGCAGTCTTATATTCAGATGCCCGGTATACCACCAACACAATTATCTGTTTCTCTTTCTGGATTACTATTTCTTGGTGTTGATTTAAACAGAGTACTGTAATTGAGCCTTATAAAGAAGAATGCCAAAATTTGACTCCTGGTTGAAAGGGAATATCCTGAAGACACTCACCTTTGTTAAATAATAAGTTTGTAATAAACTTATATGAGAGTAACCACAGGAAATGTGTTTAAATAAATGAAATCAGAGGTAAATTGTTGATTAGCCCAGGGGTGGTGATGAAATATGTTTTGGATCTGAGCCAAAAAGAATATTTAAAACCTTTGGTTACTTTGAATTGTTTTTATCAACAACTCAGTCAAATTTTGAAAGGAAGATGGTTGCATTTCAATGAAAGCCTTAATTTTACTATCCAGTATAACAGATGAAACCTATTATGGTATAGACAGAGTATACAGTGGGGAGGCAGCCTGAGTTTTAGTTAGCAGTATAGCCAATAATATGTCTTTTGGTGTGGGTGCTGTAATTACATAAATAACCCATGTGGAAAGAAGGTTTGCTGAGGTGCTTAATGAATCGTTTTTACTACATCTGCAGATAAAAGGTTTAAAATTTCATCTCTGTGGTTAATATGTGCTCCTGGTGTTAGCATAGATTTAGATTAAGACAGTCGTAATTATGATTGTTTATAACATATTGTAAAGAACCTATGTGTGAATATCTCTTGGTTATTTTTAATAACTCATGGTGGAGGTGGGGATATGTTGAGAACATATTGAACCCTGGGAATTTATAGGTAAGCTGTATTCCCTCCTCCCGGGCCATACTAGGTTAATGATGGTTAAAAAAATTTTTTTTTAAGTGGTTGTAAAGACCTAAATGTGAAACATAAACCTCTTAGAGGATAACATAGGAGATGACCTTGGGTATGGCAATGACTTTTTAGATACAACATCAAATGCAGGATCCATGAAAGAAACAGTTGATAGGCTGGACTTCATTAAAATTAAAAATGGCTGCTCTACGAAGGACAGTGTCAAGAGAATGAGATGATTAGCCACAGAGTGGGAGAATATATTTGCAAAAGACACATCTGATAAAGGACTGTTATCGAAAATATAGAAGACACTTAAAACTTAACAGTAAGAGAACAACCTGATTAAAAAATGGGCAAAAGACCTGAATAGATGCTTCAGTGAAGAGGATACATTGATAGCAAGTAAGCATATGAATAGATGTTCAAGTTCATGTCATTAGGGAATTGTGAATTAAAACAACAGTGAGATACCACTACATACTAGTAGAATGGTTAAGATCCAAAACACTGACAAAACCAAATGCTGGCCAGGATGTGGAGCAACAGGAACTCTCATTCATTACTGGTGGAAATGCAAAATGGTACAGCTACTTTGGAAGACAGTTTGGTAGTTTCTTACATAGCTAAATGTATTCTAACCATATGATCCATCAGTCACACTCCTTAATATCCACCCAAATGATTTGAAAATGTATGTCCACACGAAAACCTACACACGGATGTTTACAGCAGCTTTATTCACAGCTGCCAAAAACTTAGAAACAACCAACATGTCCTTCAGTAGGTGAATGGGTAAATAAACTGTGGTACATCCACAGAGTGGAATGTTATTCAGCACTAAAAAGAAATGAGCTATTAAGTCATGAAGAGAGATGGAGGAACCTAAAATGCATATTACTAAGTGAAAGAAGCCAATCTGAAAAGGCTACATACATGTTGTATGACTCCAACTCTGTGACATTCTGGAAAAGGTAAAACTATGGAGACGGTAAGAAGATGAGTGGTTTCCAGGGATAGAGAGGAGGGAAGAACTCATAGGCAGTGCGCAGAGGATTTTTAGGGTAGTGAAAGTACTCTGTATGGCACTACAACGTTGGATACATGTCGTTATACATTTGTCTAAACCCATAGAATTATAAAACCAAGAGTTACCCTAATGTAGCCTGTGATTTGGAGTGATAACGGTGTGTCAGGGTAGGTTCATCGATGTAGCAGGGGCACCACTGTGGTGCGGGGCGTTGACGGTGGGGGAGGCTGTGATTGAGTAGGGAGGCAGAGCTCACTTTTCTTTTTACCCAGTTTTATCTTGAGCCTAAAACTGCTCTAAAAAATAAGATTTGTTAGTTTCTTTCTTTAAAAAGAAGTGGTTGTAGAGCTATTTGGCATTTCAAATATTTGAGTCCCACTTTGTACTGTGCTAGGTGATGCCTTCTAAGAGGTCAGAGAGCCCAGTGGAAAATTTCAGAATCTAATGGACTCTTGGGAATCTTGAAAAAACAGTGGGTTTTGTTCTGGGCATTGTGGGATTTCTGATTTCCAGACCTGACTTTGTCATGCTTTCTGTTCTGAAGCCTTTTAGGACTGATAGTTTGGTCAGGTAATAAATACATCTATTTGTGACAAATTTCTAACTCTTCAGAGAATGGGATAGTCTTAAGTTTTGTCCGTCATTGATGCTGGAAGATTGGCATTGAGTAGAGAAATAAGTAAATAGGAATGTGGTTTGCTGTTTGGAGAGGGTTCTCTTGTTTATTGTTGTTGTATGCTCTTATGTTTCATGTAAATACCATGGCTAAAGACAGACAGAATTTTTCAGGCATCTGAAAACTAATGGTTTGGGTTTCAAACCTGTTGTTTATCTGATAAAGTACTATGTTATGCGTTCTTTGATTTCTTTTATTGTCAGGGATAATTATGCTTGCTTATATTTGGGTTTTGTGCATACTAGAAGGATTTTTTTTAATGTAATTTACTCTTGACAAAGGAATATAGTCACATGGTTCAGAAATTAAAATGATATAAAAAAAGTGCATTGAGCAGTCTTGCTTCTACTCTGTCCTTGTTTTCCTTTCTTGCAACTTCTAAGATGATCACTCTGCTTGTGTAATCTTCCAGTGCTTTAAAAAATGCCAGCCCTTGGCATGGCTGATAAAGAACATTGAAATTACTTATGAACTCCTTAACTTATCCTGAAAGGTCAATGGCTACATGGGAGGCCAAAACTAAAATAAAATATAATAAGTAACATTTATTGACAGCTTACTGTATACTATGCCAAGTTTATAACAACCTTATAAAAAAGCATGTACACTTAGCATTCCCATTTTATAGATAAGAAAATTGAGGCCTCAGAGAGGTTAAGAAATTTAACCCATGTAGGTAGCAGGTATCAGTGATAGGATTCAAAGCTAAGCATTTTTTTTTTTATCACGAGCATACAGAAAGTAATGAGAAACTAGTTAATGAAATCCCATGTATCTATCACTGAGATTCAGTAGTTGTTAAGATTTTACATTTACTTGATCTATTCTTTTTCCTCTGTTTCTAAAGTATTTTAAAACAAGTCCTAAATATCATGTTATTTTGCTCCTATGGATTAAAGTGTGCATCTCTGAGAAATGTAGTTGTTTTCTTATATAGTGACAGTGCCTTTTATTCACTCCTCCAAATAGAATGATAAAGAAAAGAAGTTGGCCATATGATCTAGGCCTTCGATTCAGCCTAAAGAAAACTCTCAGCAATTTGGTTATGAAAGGGAGGGATGATTTCTTAACTGTTCATTTTACACAGTGGTGTGGTTTTTCACAAGGACAATAATGGCTGCCCCACACTGAACTCTAGATAAAGGATACAGAGAGCTGTGGCAGCCAAAGCTGTCCTCATAGTGAAATGTGCCTCTTGGTGAGCTTCAAGCCACCTTTCCTAAGAACTACATATACATAAAAAATTAAAATTTTGAATTCTTTAATTCTGAGAGCTGAATTAAGCTATGAGTTTTATGCATTGGTTTTTGATGTATGGAATATTTTCTGCTGGACTCATGGCATGAGACTTATACTTTTTTTTAAGGTCTTTGATTTGCGTCAATGTCATCGTCAGATGCAACAACAGGCAGCTACTGCACAAGCTGCAGCAGCTGCCCAGGCAGCAGCTGTGGCAGGAAACATCCCTGGCCCCGGATCAGTAGGTGGAATAGCCCCAGCTATCAGTAAGTATACTTTTGATTTTTTTTTTTTTAAAGTGCAGTAGTTGGCGTTTTATCTTGATTGACTCAGTTGATTAGTTAATTTAAGCAATAATAGAAATTAAAGTTCTTTTTACTGGGATAACATTTTTGAATTTGTAAACAAAAAAAAGAAAACTGTTATTCTGTAATAGTTGCCCTTTGTCTAGGACCCTGTGTTCATTCTTTTTGTATCAAAAAAGGGAGTATGGGATAAAGGAGAAAGGGGGTTATTATATTATATTGATCAGTCTCCCCTTTTTTTTGCTGATGCTTTTAATTCTTGCCTCACCAGCCAGGGTGGGTTGAGATCACCGACATGCTTTGCTTTATTCTAGAAGGAAAGCATATTTCAGTTTCAGAGTTAGGCACCTCTCCAGTTTTTTCTTAAGTATGCTAAGCATGGAGAGAAAACTAAGTGAGGGTGGTATTTTGGTAACTTGTAGACTTTTTTTTAATTTTAGGGTAAAATTGAACTGTGTGCCAGGTTTCACACTGATGGGGAATTTTTTACTGCAGAGTTAAACTCCTGACTATAGACTTTTATGATGGAAACACGTGGCACCCATCTTCCACGTCTGAAGGCATAACTAGTGATTCATTCAACCCCTGTTCTTAACCTCTTCAGTGTGGTAAGCAAATCACACTGGCTAAGAAAACTGCAGTGGCCCTGCAGGTTTCTCTACAGTACATAACAAATTCCTCCCATTAGTTTCATTGTAATATTGATGAATGCAGATTGACTATATGACTGTATGTTCTGGAAAATTAGATGCAGAGTCTCCGTTGTGACTTATGTTCAGGAGTTTACAATTTAGAGGTAGATAAGGCATACTCATTTAGAAAATTTTATTTTTTAAAAGATTTGGGCATCTAAACCATTAATTTGCTAGTTTTGATGTTATAAACATGCTTTTACTAAAGAATCCAGATCTATTATTAAATTTTTCATTCTCATCTACTGCTCCCTGTTGAGTAATTACGTATTATCTCTGTTACATTGTGAAACTGAGAGACAGACATCATCTGGGTCATCCAAGAAGTCTTAGTGGAACCAGGACTGTTAACTGTCTCATTATTAGTCATGTCTTACTCTGAACTAGACTGTTTAGACAGACAGTAAGGTTCTTAGAACCAACCTGTAGACATGCACTACCTCTTAAAAACAAGTTGTTTTTTATTCCTTCACCTCCACTTCTAAAGAGAAAAACAGGTGGGGTGTTGGTGGATTGTGGTAATTCATAATTGATGGTAGCTAGAAGACCCATGTGGAATGTAGGTGGTCTTTACCAAAAGTTTTCAGTCCCTGTTGATAAAGTATAGATCTACACTTACTTTTTGGCACCTTGACAGAGAAGTTATATGCTGGGGAGAATGAAGTAAAGAAAGCTAATCACCTTATTAATGTAAGATTTAGGGAGGATGGGAAGAGATCAGCTGTCCCTCTGACGTCATCTAAATCTTTTCTGTTAGGTTTGTCAGCTGCTGCTGGAATCGGTGTTGATGACCTTCGTCGTTTATGCATACTCAGGATGAGTTTTGTGAAAGGCTGGGGGCCTGATTACCCAAGACAGAGCATCAAGGAAACACCTTGCTGGATTGAGATTCACTTACACCGGGCCCTCCAGCTCCTAGATGAAGTACTTCACACCATGCCTATTGCCGACCCACAGCCTTTAGACTGAGGTCTTTTAACTTAATGTTGGGGCCCTTAACATTATCAGGATGGTGGACTATAAAATGCAATCCTGTTTATAATCTGAAGATATATTTCACTTTTGTTCTGCTTTATCTTTTCATAAGGGGTTGAAAAATGTGTTTGCTGCCTTGCTCCTAGCAGACAGAAACTGGATTAAAACAATTTTTTTTTTCCTATTTAGAACTTTTCAGGCATGGCTCAGAGCTTGAAGATCAGGAAAAACACATTCTTATTAAATCTTCACCAGTTATGTATGAAGGAATCATTCCAATGCTGGAAAATTTAGCCCTTTAAAATGTTTTAGAGCCTTTTATATGCAGAACATTGATATGTGTGTTATTCTACAGAATAAATTCAATATTGCTGATTTTAAAGGCAGAGAAGTTCTCAAAGTTAATTCACCTATATTATCTTGTGTGTGAGTTGTTATTGTTGAACATACTTTACTCCAAAATATTGTGCCATGCGGGTGAGTTAATTTTACCAAGAGCAACTTTACTCTGTGTTTAAAAAAGAAGATAGTAATGTATTATAACCTTTTATGCAAATGTTTTTTTCAAGTTAAACTAGTGAAGATGATTTCAATTCAGATTGTCTTGCGACTTCAATTTTCTTTTGCCAAGGCAAAACACTAATCTCTGTATATTGAGAATTCCTTAAAATTACCAAAGGAATATCATTTAAAATTACATTTGTTATCTTTGTTGGATAACTATTTATCATGAAATCTACTTTAGCCCTGTTAAACAGTAGATGTATTCTATATTTCTAGGCACAGGGTTGGTTACTAAGAAGCCTAGAGGAGGAATTTCTTTCCTTCATTAACATAGGGAAAGGTTTTGTATTTTTAAAAACACTAAAAGCAGTGTCACTCCATCTAATATCTTAACCATTCTGCAGAGGTGGCAGTGCTTAAACTAAATAATGAATATTTTGGGAATTGCTAAATTCTGTGTTAAATACAGTGCAGAATAAGGGAAACATTACCGTTCATAATAGGTAGTTTGGATATTTTTGTACTTGATTTGATGTGTGACTTTTTTTTCGTATACTGTTTAAGTCATGTATGTTATGACATTGTTTAAAATTCAGTTTTTGTATCTTGGGGCAAGACTGCAAACTTTTTTATACCTTTTGGTTATTCTAAGCCCTTTGCCATCAATGATCATATCAATTGGCAGTGACTTTGTATAGAGAATTTAAGTAGAAAAGTTGCAAATGTATTGACTGTACCACAGATACAATATGTATGCTTTTTACTTAGCTAGTAGCATAAATAAAACTGAATCTCAACGTGCAAAGTTGAATTCTAGGTTTGATTTTTAAGTTTTTTTTCTTTTGCACTTTTGAGTCCAACCTTAGTGGCGAGACACCTTCTACTAAGTGACAGGCAAACAGCCAGTACTATTGGGCAGCTTTGGTTTTTTTCTCCCACTCTACCAGGACTTCCCTATGGACATTATGTATCAAGTGTAGGGTTGGTTATTTTTTTAACTTTTATTTTACTGTAGCAAAACTAGGCCTGATTGTCTATAAGATAAGTAGGTTGTCTACAGGATAAATAGTGTGAAATAAATCAAGGATTATCTTTCAGATGTTTTTGCTTTCTTCATGGAGGGCCTTTCTAAGTGTAATAAGATTATTTCAGGTGTGTTACAAGTTTGAGACATGAGAAACACTTAATGCATGATAGTCATCCTTATATCAACTTAAATCAACAAATCTTCTACTTCTTTGCTTAGGTCTTCTTAGTAAGACCATCCTAGAAACCACTGAGTTTGCTTATTGCTGTGATTTAAACATATCTTGATCCAAGCTACTTGTATTTTGTTTTTTAAAATAACATTTCTACCAACTCATTTATACTCTTGAGTACTTACAGATACTTCTGTTAAAGACCTAATCTTAATCTGTAAAGTTTGGTGATTTTACGTTTTATTGGCAGATTTTTTAAAAGGTATCTTCATTCTCTAGAAATTTTTTACTTAGGTCTGTTTTATTGTGAATGAAGAATAGAAGCAAGAGGGGAGAGAGTTTTAGAATAACAGATTTTAAAAATCGAGGATGTTAGATTAGAACCACAAGCATGCTATGATATAATCCATTGCCTCCTATTCTACTTTAAAGAAGGTTTACATGTTTAATCATCTAGGGAAAGTATTGTGGAAAATATTTGCTAAGTAGTCTGTCTTTCAGGCCAAGCCACCCACTTTGGTTTCCTTTTGCAAAGAGCCATAAAAATACGACAAGTACATAGAAGTACTTCTAGTTATTAATTGCTTTATACTTGTGCCTAGGTTCAGTCACATGCTTTTGAGAAAACATCTAGTATGTTATAATCAGTTATTTCTGAGGGCTTATAGTTGTTGAACAGTATTTACGTTTCTTAGAGGTAGTCATCTTTGATGAGTAAGACTAAAAGAATCACAGTGTTTAAGATTTTATGGCTATTTTAAGAGTAGAATAGTGTCCACAGTTCTTGGAATCTGATTGCTCTGAGTATATGGTTCTGGGTGTGTTTTCTCTAGCTAGTTCATATCTCAGAGACTCTCAGAATATTGAATTTCAGTGGAAGCTGAGAGAGAGATGAACCAGGTTTGTACCTTTATAATCAATCCAGTATGAGGCCCATTCCACTTTTGTCTAGTGCCTTTCAGTGCATTATCAAAGGGAAATCCTTAAATCCAAAATGGTGTTGCCTTTATTTTCCAGGGAGTAGATTCTTTTGTGGGATATAGTCTGTCATTTTTTATAGTATACTACCCCTGGTATACAAAGATAATGATAATAAATCACTGCCGTATAACCTTGTTTTTCTAGAAGCATGGCTTGTTTGTATTGACCTAATAGGCAAATAGGTTGCCTGTCCCATTCCTCCTGTAAACATTGTAGGTTTACAGGTTGAGTGACCTGGCTTAGGGATAACCATACTCAGAATACCCAAATAAAATGAACACATATGAGCTGTGTTGTATTTCAAAGTTAAAAATCCACTTTCGTGTGGAAGGGTGTAGTGTAGAGAGGGGGTATTTGTAATAGAACATTGAAGGCAAAATAAAATGTCCTGTCTTCCAGATGATAAATATCTTATTTCGAAAGTTTATTGCAGTTGTCTTTTTGACCATGCCCATCTGAAGAAGGGAAATTTTACATGTTCCATGGTGCTCCTTAAGTATATGTGGAGGTTAAAGAATATATGGTGAAGTATTTCGATTCCTGGTTTGGTGGTAACTAGTTAGTAGTTACTAGCTATTATGCAAAATCAGATTAGTTCAGAACCTCTTTGAGAGCCTTTTGGAAGAAGAAGTTTTATTCTCAGTAAGGCAGAATAATCCTTTTTGTTGATAGTTTCTATAGTTGCTCCCTCCATCATTGAGTCATTTTGCTGGCATTTAATAATAGCAGATTGGGAAAATGGTGAATTTTAGGTTACTGGGGTAAATGAGTATATGAAAGCAATTACCTGTATGTAAAGTCAGTTAACAACTCTTTTGTGGATGGGGTTTGGCTAAGACTAGCAGATAGAAAAAATGCTTTTTTTTTTTCCTTCCTAAAGGCAGAACCCATTGTTGCGGATAGCTATCTGTAAATAATCACCTAAGTCCTCCTTTGCAAGATTATTGAAGATGGGGTATGAGAATCTTGTGTGCAACCTTTCTATTTTTTCCTCACAACTAGATAATTTCTTTTCTCCTAAGATATATCAGGAAGGATGTAAAAAGTTAGTGGCCTTATTCATAGCATCCTCAGGCCCAGCCTTGTCTGTAAGCACTTGTCCCAGTGTTGCTAGGTTGTTTATCTTATTTATCTGGTATCACTGTGGAATGGAATTTTCTGCATAATCCAAACTTGCCTTATTTAAACAGTAAAACTTTTTTTACTTTGGCCATTTTTTTGGGTGGAGTTATTTGATATGTATATTAGAGAACATACTAGATACAGTGTTTCTTTTGTGCCTCCTGTCTTGTAGACTTTAGAGGCTGCTAAGACATGTGGGACTGTTTTACCTGCACTAAATGGTCGCAGACTCCTATGGTTTGGAATGTTTGTTTTGGTATACTCCCCCCGCCCCTTTAATGACAGCAACCACTTCCTGTGTGTTACTAGTATACCTCCCCTTAGTTCCTTCTTCCCTTTCTGATTCATTTTCCCGACTGGGCAAGGAAGCCAGATAACCATACTTATTAGAACTTTCTTTAAAACACCAGGGCAAACTGGGACAGGACCCAAGGAAGTTTCCTGTAAAGTATTGAAAAGAACTTCACTGCTTTGGCATTTGATATCAGTTTGACTGCTTAGTGTGCTTCCTGATTCTTGCTGAGTTTCAGGTAGTTCAGATAGAGAGAAATGAGTCATATTCATAATTTTCCCCTTTGAAAGGTTTAGTTGCTTCCACTTGAATGCTGCTCAAACAAATACTGGGGTTACAAGGGTTGGTTACTAAGTTAGCATCAATAGCCAGAGGCAATACCATTACCTAGAGGACACCAGCAAAAAGAAAAAGAACAGCAAAAAAAATAAAAACCTTGGAAAATGAGGGGGTCATTTTGTTTTGTTTTGGTGTCCCCTTTTTGAGTCCTATCTTCTGGCCTTCCTCCTCTACAGATATTTTTGACCTTTAGGTGCCTTTATGAGAATTGAGGGTCTGATATCCTGCCCCAAGGAGTAGCTAAAGTGATTGCTGATGTTTTCAGGGATTTTAACATCAGACTTGAATGAGTGAATGAACCTTTTTTTCTTTTCCTTTCATCATCTTTTTTTTTTTTTTTAGATGTAGGAAGAACTAAGGAGAAAACTCTAGTGAAGACAATCATTTCTCTCTATTGATGCGGATAATTTTCAGCTTATTTCAGATGCTTTCTCAATAGGTCTCAGAACTAGTGTTCTTGTTCAACCTGAAACTAGTAGTGGCTCTGGGCTGGGGCCAGACAGTTGCACTCTCTAGTTTGCGCTCTGCCACTAATTTGATGTATGACCTTGGGCAAGTCATTTACCTTCTTTGGGCCTCAGTTGCCTCATCTGTAAAATGAGGGAGTTGGACTAGATGAGTTCTTCCAGCTCTGAAGTTTAAGTGACCTTGCCTACCTTGCAGCAGTTTTTGATTTCTTCCTTACCTTTGGTCTGCTGTCTGAGGGGGCTTTTTACTTATTTCCACATTATTCAAATGAGACTAGGCTTGATATTTTATTACTGTTCTGTGGACAAGAAGTTACATAATATGTCCTTAAAACTTAAATTCAACCAAAGGCCTAGCACCGCCTTGGGGGCTGCAATAAATACTTAAAAAAAAAAAAAATGGAGAAAAGCCTTTATCTTATTTTCCCATCATCTCTATTCAAGGTGTATTAAGGCTTTTTTTGGAGTCATGATATTCTACCTTTTGGGTTGGTATGTGTGTGACACCATCCTCTTAAGTACTGTGTGCTGGTAATTTTTTCTTTAAAATGGATTGAAAACTTACTGTAAATGCCTAATGGTTATTAGAGGTCATTGCTTTGGGTCTTTGGTTTCTTAACTCTTCTATTCTGAAAACAGGGAAATTCCCTTGAACTGTGTCAATTAAAATGGTTTATATGACTCAAGAAATTAATACCAGTGGATGATTATTCACTTTATTTTTGGCTCTTTTTAGGTCCATTTTGATTAGAAGACTTTTGGCTGGAGCATTCCTTTCAGAGTTCTCTTCCAGCCTATCCTTGGATGAGTATAATTAATGGACTTGGCTTTTTCAAGGACCTTGAGAACCTTCCTTGGGGGGTGGGTCAAGGGTAGGGGATTGGGGAGTCCTGGTAGAGGCCAGCTCTGTGGTAGCTGGAAAGGAAGGAATGAAACCAGCTGCTGTTGCTGTGGCTTGTCATTGATAGAAGGACTCATGGGCTTGGATTGGTTAAAAGGCCAAACATAGAGTCAGCAAACTTCTTCCAAGTTGGGTTCTGGCCGATGCCTTGGACATGTGATTTAAGGGAAAAGTGTGAAAGCTCCTGGATGATGAAAACCTGGTGAGCTGCAGAACCATTTGGAGGAGGTGACTAGGGGTTGGGAACAGATTTGGTGATAGTACTTCCCAACTCTGTCTCCTTCTCTGAAGTCAGAGGAATGCAGCTATGCCAAAACTCACAGAAGAGCCACATTTAACCTCTGCTTTTGGGAAAACTGGTTAGCTAAGGCTGGTAGTTCCTTTGTGGCTTTTTGTATACTTTTGCCTGGTTGAAGTCTGTGGCTAAAAAATAGTTGAACCTTTCCTGAGAACTCTGTAACAAAGTATGTTTTTGATTAAAAGAGAAAGCCAATTAAATCATTATGTGCTCATTCTTTTTCTTAAAGCCTGTGGATGTTTTAGATCTAGAAAGAATTTCTAATCACGTAGCGAATTCTCAGACTTGAGGACATTTTCCTTCATTGCTTTGTGACAATTGAAATGGGAACTACAGCATTTCAAATACGACCATGGGAGAACAGTCCCCATTCTTATCTCATTTCTAAAAGGAGAGAGTGGAATGATGGTGGTTGAAGAGGTGGGTACTAGGGAATTATGAGAACCAAGATGCTTAAAGGAGAGACAGAAATTGGAAATTGGAGACTGACCCTATCATTGCCCATCTAAGGATAAAGAAAGCTATTCCCCCCTAGCTGCCTCCTTTATGAAATGAGGGGTCAGTGTGGGGCAGGGGGTGGTCAGGTAAGGTTTTTCTTTGGCAATGGCTTGTAAAAAAAAAAAAAAAAAATCACGACCAAATCAGAATTTTCTTTCTGGTCTTGCTGATGTGAGTTCCAGAGACATTTATCAGGCCGAGAGACTCATTCTCGCCTGACCTAAAATTTACAGTATTTTAAGCTGAACTTGGAGAGGGTTGTTGATTGGCATGCTGTTGAGGGGAAAAAAACGAAACACAAAAAGCATTCCTTTGTGGAACTCTTCAGGAGTAAGGGCAGTTTTGTGTATTCTTCATCTCTCTCTGCCCTCTGCTTTTGACCCTTGATTCTTTGTGCTTTATTCCATCTCCTGCCTTATCACAGCTCCCACAAATGACAACCTGAAAAGTCCCAACTCCTCTTCAAACCCTTCTCACCCTGTCTTCTCACTGTGATAAATTGTAGTGCCCTTTACCCTCAGCCCCTTCTGTTCTAAAAGAACAATTCTTTTAGTTCTGGCCCTACTTTGGGGATGGCATCTACTTCTTTATTTTGATGTAGTCCTTTTGGGCCAGACAGATGGACAGGATGGGTTCAGGGAATTTGTCACCAGCAGACCTACCCTAAAAGAATGATGCTTAAAGGAGTTTCTCTAAACAGAAAGGAAATGATAAAAGAAGAAAGGTAATATCAAGAAGAAATTAAAAATATGGTAAGCAAAATAATATATATGGTAAGCAAAAATATGTGTTAATACATAAATCTCATCTTGAGTTTTCTAAATTATGTTTGCTAGTTGAAGCAAAAATTGCAACACTACCTAAGGTGATTCTAAATGTATACAGAGTAAATATTTAAAACTATGAAAAAGCTAACCAAAGAGATAAACTCAGAAATACTATAGATAAATCAAAATGGAATTCTAAAACATGTTCAGTAACTCACAATGAGGCAGGGCAGAAAAGAAAACAAGCAAAAAAACAGAACAAAGAGAAAATGTTTTTAAAAATGTCAGACTTACTATCTAACATATTAATGATTATATTAAATGTAAATGGTTTAAATATACTAATTAAAAGACAGATATTGGTAGACTGTATTAAGAAACATGACCCAACTATATACTGTCTACAAGAAACTTCAAATATAACAATATAGGCAATCTGAAAGAAAAAGGTTTATAGGAAAATATATATTAGGTAAACAGTCAAAGAAAAGCAAGATTGGCTATGTTAGTATCAGATAAAGTAGATTTAAGAGCAAAGAAAAATGCCAGAGATAGAGAGGGATAGTATGTAATGATAAAGAGTTAATTCGTCAAGACACAGTTAATCCTAAGTGTGTATACACCAAGCAACAGAGCAAAAAATGGGAAGCAAAAAATGATAGAATTGAATGGAGAAATATATCCACAACCATAGTTGGGGACTTCAACATAGCTTTTTAAACAGTTGATAGAATAGTTAAAATCATCAAGGATATAGAAGAACTCAACACCACCATCAACCAATATGATCTAACTGACATTTATAGAACAAGTCATCCAAAAACAGCAAAATACTGTGCTTTTCAAGTGCAAACAGAACATATACTAAGATAGACTCAAAACTTAATGAATTTAAAAGAATTGAAATCATATAAAGTGTTCTCCAACCACAGTGGAATCAAACAAGAAATCAGTAATAGAGAGATAACAGGAAAATCTCCAAGCACTTAGAAACTAAACAGTATATTTCTAAACCATGGGTTAAAGAGGAAGTCTCAAGGGAAATTTTTTAAAAATACACTGAACTGAATGAGAAATGAAAACATCAACATCTGTGGGATTCAGTTAAAGCAGCGCTGAAAGGGAAATTTATAGCACTAAATGCAAACATTAGAGAAAAAGAAAAAAAATCTCAAATCAGTACTTTAAAGCTTCCACTTCAAACACTTAGAAAAACCCAAAGCAAGCAGAAGGAAGGAAATAAATTTGGAGCAGAAATCAGTACAATTGAAACAAAACCAACAGAGAAAATCAATGAAACAAAGAACAGGTTCTTTGGAAAGATCAGTAATATCAACAAACCGCTACCAAGACTGACAGAAAAAGACAAGACACAAATTACCAATATGGGGAATAAAATGGGATATCACTACAGCCACTATAGACATCAAAAGGATAAGAAGGGAATACTACAGATAACTTTACACACATAAATTTGACAACTTAGATGAAATTGACCAATTTGTTGAAAAACACAAATTACCAGAACTCACCCAACATGAAATCGATTATTTAATAGCCTTATAGCTATTAAGGAAATGGAAATAATTTTAAAATCCCTGAAAAGAAATCTCCAGTCCCCAGATGGTTTCACTGAAGATTCTACCAAAGAAGAGTTAATACCAATTACACAATATTATCCAGAAAATAGAAGAGAATGCTTCCCCATTCATTTTATGAAGCTAGTATTACCCTGATACAAAACCAGACGAAGATGATACCAAAAAAAAAAACCAGACCAATATCCCTCATGAATATATATGCAAAAATCCTTAACAAAATATTAGCAAATAGAATTCAGCAACATACAAAAAATTATACACCATGACCAAATGGAGTTTATTTTAGGAATGCCAGCCTGGTTCAGTATTTGAAAATCAATCTAACTACCACATTATCAGGCTAAAGAAGAAAAATATCTCAACATCCTACACCCATTCATGATAAAAACTCAGAAAATAGGAACAGAGGGGAAATTCCTCATTTTAATAAAGCACATCTACAAAAAAACCTACAGCTAACATAATACTAAATGGTGAGGAACTAAATGCTTTCCACCTAGGATTGGGAACAAATCAAGGATGTCTACTCTCACAACTCTTACTCAGCACAGTGCTGAAAGTTTTAGCCAGTGTAATAAAGCAAGAAAAGGAAATAAAAGGCATACAGATTGGGAAGGAAGAAGTAAAACAATCCCTATTTGTAGATGACATGATTGTCTACGTAGAAATTCCCAAGGAATGTATTTAAAAACTAGAACTAATAAGTGAGTCTACTGAGGTCACTGAATACTAGATTTACGTACAAAAGTCAACGGTAGTTTTATCATAAGCAATGACCATGTGGATGCTGAAATTAAAATACAATACTGTTTACAATCACTTGAAAAAGAAAGGTGTAATCTAACAAAACATGTATAGGACTTGTATGCTGAAAACTACAAATGCTGATGAAATAAATTGAAAAACGTCTAAATGGAGGAACATGCTGTGTGTTCATGGATTGGAACACTCAATAGAGTAAATATGTCAATTCTCCCTAGATTGATATACAGGTTTAATGCAGTTCCTGTCAAAATCCCAGCAAGATTTTTTCTCGTAGATATAGGTAGGATTATTCTAAAATGCACATGGAAAGGCAAACCAGAAGGTAAGACAATTTTGATAAAAGAATAAAGTAGGAAGAGTTAGTTTACTCAAATTCAAGACATTATAAATATAGTGTATGTGTGTGTGTATACTGAATGTGTGTGTGTGTGTGTGTGTGTGTGTATATATATAATTACTGTATATTGATTACTGTAGTGGAGACTGTGGTATTGGAGGAACAGACACACAAATCAGTAAGATGGAATAGAGAACCCAGAAGTAGACCCACAGAAATATGCACAACTGACTTTTAACAAAGGTGCAAAAGCAATTCAATGGAGAAATGATAGTTTTTTCACCAAATGGTGATGGAGAAGCTGGACACACATAGACAAGGAAACGGACCTTGACCCAAGTTTTATACTTTATATGTAAATTAACTAAAAATGAATCACAGACTTAACATGTAAAACCTAAAGTTATAAAACTTTTAGAAAAAAATCTTTGGGATCTAGGATTAAGCAAGAAGTTCTTAGACTTGACACCAAAATCAAAATCCATAAATGGAAAATTTGATAAATTGGATTCTGTCAAGATTGAAAATATTTGCTCTGTGAAAGACCTTATTAAGAGAATGAAATGACAATATCTAGAATATATAAAGAATTCTCAAAACTCAGTAATAAAAAAAACAAATAATCCCATTAGAAAATGGGCATAAGAAATGAGACATTTCGCTGAAGAGGATATAAGGTGGCATATAAGTACATGAAAAGGTACTCAACATCACCAGCCATTAGAGAAATGCAAATTAAAACCACAATGAGATATCGTTATACACCTGTAATGGGTAAAATAAAAGTACATCATATGCTAACGGGGATGCAGAGAAAGTGGACCACACATACGTTGCTGGTGGGGATGTAAAATGTTACAACCGCTCTGGAAAACACTTGGGCAGTTTCTCTTTAAAAAACCGAACATGCAACTAATCACAAATTCCAACTGCACTCCTGGGCATTTATCCCAGAGAACTGAAAAGTCATGTTCACACAAAAAAACTGTACCTGAATGTTTATAGCAGCGTTATTTGTAATAGCTGAAAACTGGAGACAACCCAGATGTTCTTCAAGAGACAAATGGTTAAACTGTGATACATCTACACCATGGAATACTACTCAGGAATAAAAAGGAAAAAACGATACATGCACATCTAGATGGATCTCCAGAGTATGCTGCTGAGTAAAAGAAGACAATTCCTCCAAATTACAAATTATTCCAATTATAGAACATTCTTGAAATGACAAA